CCATATGGAACGTGAATGAAATTGCCTTGCTTTGTTGTCCATTATCTAGTGGTCTAGTTCCATATGGTGATTGAGCTCTGTTTACATGACTTTGATGATGTAGGCATCTATTTTATTGGAATTGTTAACCAATTAATAAAAATCTACTGCCATATGTGCTGATTCTACAGTTTGCTGTTTTATTTGCATTGGAAACTGTTTTGGGAAGAACTCTTATCTAAATCCTGTTCTGATTATGATAGTGTCCTTCTATACAGAGACTCAGATCACAGTTGCACATCTAATTTGTGAGAGAGGAAACTCTTGATGAAAACTGATACAAAGCTTTTGGTAGAAATTCAGATCCAAGCCATTCATGACCTGACTCAAGCCAGCTCTTTATGTTCCATAACTTGGGGACAAATTCCAATTAATGAATGCATGTCAAAAAGCAGAGTGTAAGTCATCACCTGATGCATAATTTAGGAAAGTGTTAAATACGAGGTAGAAAGATTCATGAATAGGCTTCTGGACAAAAGCTGAAGAAATTGATAAAAAGAACTTGGTTCCAAGATTATTCATTAGTTGTTAAAAAAATTTGGAAAGGGGTTTAAATCTCTCTCTTTGGTTGAAGACCAGATCTTTTATGTCTTCACAAGGGACAGATTTTGTCATGTTTTCCTACCAAGAAGTGTGCAACTTTTTGAACGCGTGGTACACACTGAGAGGTGGACCAATGTGCTTCTTACTGAATTCTTTGGCTGCAGAAGGTATCTCTCAGAAAAATCCATACCTGTCGTCTTTCTCATTCATTCCTCATTTATCTCTGCCCTCAAGGAATTACCAGATAAATTACATTTATCGTCTAAAGCAACAAACATATTTGTGCAGCAGTGGTTTAGAGGTACTTGTGGGTCATAAAGTACCACTCTTTCAGTTAATCTATGCATCATAATTAACTTCTTTCAAAAAAGCACGCACGCTAGTTGCCAGAGTAAATAGTTTTGCTGCATAATGTGGTAATATTAACCCAGCAACAGAGGATTTGGCCCATATCAGCATTTATTTCCTTTAAAAGGGAGTGACTGAAAAGAGCCTGTGGATTCACCGGACTGCTATTACCATAGCTCACTAATGCTAATTACTGTGGAATTTCCTGTTTGAGGAAATCCAACTGTGAGTTCATAAACGTGTGAAAGCAAATGGAGAGGAAAAACAAAATTCAGACAGCTCTTCAGTCACTTAAATCTTGCTTTCGAATCACAACTTTCTTCCTCTATTCTGTTCTGTTCTGCAGCAATGCAAGCTACATGAAGGGGGGAAGTATTAAAGAAACAAAACCAGAAAACAAGCAGTTCTTTTTTACTGACATGTGTATTATTTTTACTCTAAGTGGTATAACAGGAATTTCTTCTCATGTTTTAAACCATGTTTTTGCTTTATTACCCATGCTGTAGTACTTCACTGCCATTTTAGAAATTACAGATTCATTCAAAGAACACTGCTGAATACTGAATTTGTGTATTTATGTTGCATTCATTGTGGTAACTTAAAATATACATCATAAATAACCCTAGTAATAAGGAACACAGTAACCCATATTAAGTAATTTTTGTGTTAGAAGGCTCTCATTTGCAGCTTTTTTAAAGCAAAGTGTAACAATAGTGAATTACATTCCTTAAGTGAAACTGTATATAAATTACAGATTTGTAGATGACAAATAACATATATTTTGTTCTTGTTCATATAAAATGAAAGGATAGGATATACACACATTTGAGAGTCAGATTGGGTACGCTCACCCATATCATTCTCTTATCATGAAGAAAAAAGACTGCATAAGTTAATATGCGTAGTCTGGTAAGCATTAGCCTGGTAAACATGCCACAGCATTACTTGAAAACATGATTTTGCTGTTTTTGTTGATCTTTTCTCCAGTTCCCATAAAGTCAGCTGCCCTCAGTGCTGAAACGTTATCTTAGAGACCCAGGATGCAAACCTGTTGCATTTTGAGATTAAAAATCTGAGGCCATCTTTTACGGAGTAAAAACACATTGCCTGATATTACTACACTATTTTATCAGTCAAACTTGCTTTCTGTGTTGAAACTGTAGTCTATACTTAACTTTATACTTAGCTTTCAATCCTAGCTACGATCCTGGAATATTGATCATCTACCCATGCAGTTAAAACAACACCAGTGGTATACACCTTATGTGGGCATTCAGCCAACATAAGATGATGAGCAGCTGAGACCAAAGTCTTCCAATGACAATCCTACAGTCCTTGCAGTTATCACTGCCCTAATTTGAACTTTGCTGTGCAGGAGATCTCAGTGAGTAGAAGTTCCCACTCTTCAAAATTTCTAGATAACCTCTTTTCTACAAATTGAGCTTAGGGTGATAGACAGGTTTCCATCTAAAGTTCTTTCTAAACAACCTGTTTATTGAAACATGCAGAAAGACACAGAAGGGCTAAGGTACAATCAAGGAGAGTTTCATGCCCAGTGAATGATATAGAAGTACAGTAGACCAACCAAAAATTTGGACTTGCCTTCCTCTCTTCCCATTGGTACTACTGCTCTGAGGAATTAAATGCCACTCCCAGGAATGACCTCACCATAGTCATTACCATCTGGAAGAAGGCAGTTGGAGACTCATATAAATTGGTAGCTAATCAAGAAGGTGGCAAAGTCCACAGAAAGAGATCTCTTTTAGACCAGACTGACATGAGCAAAATAGCTCTCATCTATAGGACAACCTCTTACCCATGAACTTCACTTCTGCATCTCATTTTGAGATGGCAGTTGTCTGCAATTGCACAAGCAAAATGATTTTGTTTTAAAATAATAAGGTTTATTCTAAATCCATTGACTGAAAGTGTTAATAAAGAGAAAACTGGAAGCATTGTTCTTAGCTGTTTTTTTGTGGTTGCAGACACAATGTTAAAATAATAAAAATAAAAGTATAAAACAATGCTTTTGAAACATACAAAGCAATGTCAGAACATTCAGGTTGCATGCATAAAATCATGAAGGCATGATTGTAAGTAAATCTGGGAACTAGGCAATCTGAATGCACAGTTTTTCAGAAGAAACCTTTGAGGCAGGCTTTGAAGTAAAAAAAAAAAAAAAAAAAAAAAAAATTTGGCTTTTTCAGCCTGAGGAGTAAGTCCAAAATCAATCATAGGCCTGCTGTGCTTTAATTTCAGGTCAGACCTAGTAGCAACAACAGCTCAGGAAAGACTCTGAAAAGTCCAGAGACTTCAGGGGGGATTTGGTGAGAAAATGAAGTGATCCAAGCAACTACAGGCTCTTTTAACTGATCTCATTAGTGCACAAAGCTTTAAAACAAATGCTGAATGAAAACCTAATTAAAGATGTGGAAGTAAATGCAAAACTAGTTAAATGCAGCAGAGCTTCACCAAGAATAGAATATACCATTCTAAGCCAGCATCTTTCTCTGATAAATCATTTTTTCAAACAATGAAAATATGGTAGATAAAATCTTTCTGGACTTTAATAAAACATTTGAGAGGATGCCATGCAAGAAAATATTAATTAAGATGGAGAGATGTGGATGAATGTAAGGCATGAAAAGTAAGGATAATAGCATGTGCTGAAAGGGAAACTCTGGATGGAAGGCGGTTACTAATGCAGTTCCATAGGGACTGATCTCAGAACTAATCTTAGTTTAAATTTTATTGGTGACCTTGGCACAGAAAACATGAGTGTGCTAACGAAATTTGCTGATGACATCAAGCTAAGACCTTCTGTTACAAAAGAAAAGGACTGGAATACCTCATGGAAGGAATTGTATAAGTCTGTTGACTGGAGAAAGAAATGACATGCAATTTAATGGAAGAAATACAAAGTCATGCACTTAGCAAAAGTACTTATTAATTCTAATAAAGTAAGGAGGAGGCTTCTCCACACAGACAGAAGAAAGAAAAGAAACTGCATCAGTCAGAGGCAGAAGGGAATCCACAGTGAGCTGCTTTTTGTTTGGAAAAGGTGGCACAAGCAACATGCTAGAGCCATACAGGCAGTCGTTCTGGTCAGTGCTGGCGTTCCCATCTCTGACAGCAGCCAGCAGCAGTAGTCAGAGAAAAGGGGAATCCATCCTGGATCTGTGGAAGCAGCCGGCAGTTTGTGACTCAGTGATGTCTTTGTGCCTTTTTTCATGCCCTTTTTTTTTTTTTTTTTTTTTCCCTCCTTCCAGTGATTTAGCTTACTTCCTACCTCCCCCCCCACACACACACCTCTTGTTGGCAATGACTGTTTCCCAGCATCAGTCTGAGGGAGCAGTTAGAAAATGGCATAATCCAGGTGAAACTGTGGGACAGATCAACCTAGAACATTTAATTAGGATGCCGATGGTACTTTGTACCGTATCCTACCTGCTTTGGGACTACGTCCACTTGGGTAGCCTAGAGGAGTTACTGGTGTCGTACACTTTGGAAAAAAAGGTATGTGAAAATGATGAATGTCGGTCTTTTGTATACAAACTGGAAAATTCCTCTGGGCAGATGTCTCCTGTTTGTTCTCCAGACAGATGGAGCAGTGCCACTGCACACTCGCAGTGCAGAGCCCCTCGACACATGCAGGCCTTGCAGCAAGGGGCTGCATTTTTGACTTTTCCTCCGCAGATCTCTGGAGCAACTCACACAGGTCCGATCCCCCCTCAGCTCTACGTCAGTGTGTTCACTGCTCCCTGCTGTATTCAGATGGTGCTGCTCAAACACTTGATAACTGATTCCCCCCCAGTAATAAAGAGGCAGTAAAATGTGATTATTTTCCATATCTTCCTTCTGCATTTGGTTTTATTTTCTTCCTTCCCTCTGGAAATCCAACTAACTCGGATACCGACTACTCTGATACTCGGTTACCCCCAGACCCACGAGCATGCAGTAGGGACGCTGAGGGACCCTGTAGTCACAGCAAGCTCAGCCTCAGCTCCTGCTGCCTCCAGCAACCCTCAGCAGGAACAGAAACCGAAAGGCCCCGGGGCTTTGCCATGCCCCTCGCAGCCCCAAGCCGAGCCCGAGGGGCAACCCCTCTCTTTCTCTCTCCCCCCCCTTACCCTCCCTTCTCTCCCTTCCCTCCCCTATCCTCTGTCTCAGTCTCGGTCTCTTTCGATGGCAGACGTCCCCGCGCTTCCTCCCGGCGGCCGGAGGCGCCCTGCCTTCGGCCTTCGCCCCTCCTCCGGCCGCCCACAGGTGAGGCCAGCCCCGAGGCCTGCTGCTGGCCGACAGGAGGACCTGCGGTGCCCGCCTGTCGTGCCCCCGCCAGGTATGTCAGAGCTGCCGGGCCCCGCCGGCCGCCGCCACCTGGGGGCAGCGGGAGGGAGCGGCCCCCGTTCGGCCCCTGCCCCTGGGGCCCCAGCGGTTGCCTGCCGGAGAAGGGAGGGAGAAAGCGGCTGGGGCTGCCCAGGGCGGAGGGAGGGAGGATAGGGTTCGCTTTCCAGCCAGCCTCTGCGGTGGTGCTGGCCTTTGGGCGAGAGATGCCCCGTCGGAAGGTGCAGCGACCCGCTGGTCGGGCTGGGGTTCTCTGCCTCCTTTCTTCCTTGTGTGTGTATGCTAGGGAGGCAGCCTTGCTGTTCCCCTGTGCAGTGTTTGGCGTGCCCCGTGAGGACACACAAGAGGTTTTTGTGCGGGGCAAGATGACTGTAAGCTAAAGAAGCTTTTAGCTTCCAGTATGACCAACTGGGAGCATGAATGTGCTCGTTCTGTGGGATGCGTCCATTTCTACAATATCCCACAACAATAGGATTCAAAGTTCATAATGATGGATGGGGTCAACAGTCGCAGGCTTTATATGAGGCTGTTGGCTTACAGCTGTGCTTGCTCCTCAGTCACAGAACTGAGCCTTGTAGCTGTTTACACAGGGATATGACTCAGTCCAGGAAGATTTTCTATGTTCATGCAATGTCATTTTTCCGGTTCAATGGTGGGTGGGTGAATTTGTGCTCTTGTGGTCATGCCCCCTGACTTCATGGAAGGACCAAAAGCTTCTGTGTGGAAGAGCTGTTGGAGAATTGGAGCTCATGTTTGGATATAAATCTCACAATACACAGGGTAAGCAGGGGTAAAGATTACAGTAAACGTTGTGCCTTGTCTGGATGTGACAAACTGAGGGTGTAGAAATTTAACACTGTAACTAGAAGCCATAAAATCTCATAAAGAATGTCTTTAGCTATATACTCATATGTTGTTCTTTTAGGGCTTCTTTCCTCCTCTTTGTTACCAGTCCTTTGAAAAATGAATTCCTCTTTATTGATACTATAATATGTATTTATTATTAGTTTAATTTTTCAGCACTCTTTTTATATATATAGCATCTGGCTTTTCTGTGAAACGTGAAGGGGGCTGAATTCATGTTGTACATGAATATTTCATTCTGACCTTTCCAGATGTCTGAACAATGATCCTGTGACCTTGTTATTGCACAGCAAGTTTTCCAGGTAGGAGGCAGAGCAGGGTTTTGTTGATACAGGTTTAACCTCAGGTGGGCCGTGGTAGCCCAGGAGAGCATTCTGGAACTGATGCTATGGGTGAGTTGCCACCAGCATTCCTGCAATTCCTTCCTTCCTTGGAAACACACCCTGGTAGAAGTTGTCCACCAAGAGGCTGAAAACCTCCAACAGTGGCAAAAGAGTTTAAGCCCTTCTTTACGTGCTTGCACTGCAACTAAACAGCTCATCTCAATCTGAGGGAGAAGCCCATTTCCAAGGAGATACCTTTCCCCTTCCCACAAATGTGACCAGGTGCACAGACAGGAGTCCCCTGTCCTCTGTGTTGTAATGATGGCCTTGCTGGGATGTTGGCAGTTTTTCTTTTTTAACACAGATGAGCTTTTTGCCTGTTACTCAGTCCCTGCACTGAATGATCACTAAACTGCTTTTTGTCTGGTCTTTCCCCTTTGCAAGTCCAGCCTAGGTGACTAGGTACAGGAGTGAAGGCTCCTTCTGGAGCAGCAGCCAGGGCCTTTGAAGGTAAGGGCCTCACTACTTTTGAGGAGTGACCTCTGCTTTTGTGAGGTGTTCTGGGATCTATGTGTGATTTTGCTGCATGCTTGTTATTGACAAGCATGCCATATATGTTGTCTAAAACGGCATGCCATTTTAGCCTCGAATTTAGCAGTTTGCTGAAGAGGGTTTTGAATGCATCTAAGAAAGGCTACAATGATTCTGTGACAAAATAACTTTTAAAATAAAGTTGCTTTTACACAAATTAGTTGCTGTTTTGATGGCTTCAGACAAAAATATGCAGTCATACTAAGTGGAACTAAGTGTATTATGTGAAATGAAGGTGACTTCATTGTGTTGGTTTATTCATTGTTAGAGCAGGAATTCAAAAACTAAATAACCATGGTGAGATGTAAACTGGATTTTTAAAGGTATTCTGGTTTGAATAGATGCTTAATAGTAGTACAGCTGGGGAAATGCATAAACAATATTTTTGTACTTATTAAATTTTAAGTTTTACTGTAAGAATATGGATAGAGCCATGAAATCATTCTTTAACTCAGCTGAATGAGTATTCTGTATGTTCATGCGGGTATCAGCTTTAAATTAATGCTTTTTTTTTTTTTTTAAGGGAAATTGTTCAGAGTCAAAACTGACCTTGATGTAAAGTGTTTGTGTGTAGAATAGCTGTAGGTGTTTATGCTGTGCTGACTGGATTGGTTTAAGTTTGAAATTCAGCTATAATTGAACAGTCATTATTTAATACTCGTTATTGAAATTAGAAATCCAATTTTATTTAAAATTGATTTTTGATTAGAATTATCAATGCTTCATATTTTTGTGGCATTTAATAGACCATTATAACTCTAAGATAAGGATTGTTGCCCTCCAGACCAAACAAGTGATTGTCCAAAATGTTGCTAAGGCTACGGATGTAGCTCTGAGGGGTGGAAATGAGGGAGGCTAGGTGGCCTGCTGCTCACTATGTTCAAAGTTGGGGTTTCAGATTTGTTGCCAGCCTCCACACTTTTCAAGGAGGGCAAGAAAGAAGACCCTAGCAGTTACAGGCCTGTCAGTCTCATGTCAGTGCCTGGTAAAATTATGGAGAAGATTGTCCTTGAAGTTATTGAACCTAGGGGACAATGCAGTCATTGGTCCTAGCCAACATGGGTTCATGAGGGGTAGGTCCTGTTTAACAAATTTGATTTCCTTTTATGATAAGATCACCCATCTAGTCAACCAAGGGAAACCAGCTGATGTGATCATTTGGACTTCAGCAAAGCTTTTGATGCAGTTTCCCATAGGATCCTACTAGACAAAATATCCAGCATGCAGCTAAACAAAAACATCATATGATGGGTGAGCAATTGGCTGACGGGCAGGGCTCAAAGGGTTGTGGTTAATGGGGCCACATCAGGATGGCAGATGGTCACCAGTGGGGTCTCCTAAGGCTCCATTTTAGGGCCAGTCCTCTTCAATGTTTTTATAAACAATTTGAATGTAGTACTAGAAGGTGTTTTGAGCAAATTTGCTGATAACACTAAACTTGGAGGAGTTGTGGACTCAGATGAGGGTGGAAAGGCCTTGCAAAGAGATCTGGGCAATCACCCGCTGCATCAAGTTTAACAAGAGCAAGTGCCGGGTCCTGCACCTGGGACAGGGCAACCCTAGCTATATGTAGAGACTGGGTGATGGGACGCTGGAGAGCAGCCCTGCAGAGAGGGATCTGGGGGTTGTGGTTGACAACAAGTTGACTATGAGCCAGCAGTGTGCCCTGGCAGCCAGGAGGTCCAACCGTATCCTGGAATGCATCAAGCACGGCATTGTTAGGTGGTCGAGGGAGATGATTGTCCCGCTCTACTCTGCACTGGTGTGGCCTCACCTTGAGTACTGCGTGCAGTTCTGGACACCACAGTACAAAAAGGATGTAAAACTGTTGGAGAGTGTCCAGAGGAGGGTGACGAAGATGGTGAAGGGCATAGAGGGGAAGATGTGTGAGGAGCGGCTGAGGTCACTGGGCCTGTTCAGCCTGGAAAAGAGGAGGCTGAGGGGAGACCTCATCGCGGTCTACAGCTTCCTCACAAGAAGGAGTGGAGGGGAAGGCGCCAATCTATTCTCTTTAGTGACCAATGATGGGACCTGTGGGAATGGTGTTAAGCTGAGGCAGGGGCGGTTTAGGCTAGACATCAGGAAGAGGTTCTTCACTGATAGTGTGGTTGCACACTGGAACAGGCTCCCCAGGGAAGTGATCACTGCACCAAGCCTCTCTGCATTTAAGAAGTGTTTGGACTGTGCACTTAGTCACATGGTCTAAAATTTTGTGCACCCTTTTGGGCAGCCTTTGCTTTCAAAGGAAAGAAGAAATGACTTGCATTTGACAGTTTTTCTGCGCATTGCCGGACTTGATTGGTCCAGCAGAACTACAAAAAAGAAGCAGATATGTGCATGTCTAGGCATGAAAGTTGCAGATAGAATTTATATTTTCTTCATGAAAAATGTCTTTTTTTAAAAAACAGGCTGTGTGAATGGTATCAAAATTTTAATGGAAAAATAAATACAGCAAAAATGATTTGGAAAATGTAAACACTTTTTATTTATTCTTTAAAGAAAAAATAAAAAATAGTACTATCACTCACATATTCTAAGGAAAAGTCTGAATTAGCAATGTCTAATCAAAAGGCAGTGAAAGATGGCAATTGGCCTGGGCTGCAGGCACACTGCTGGTCATGCCAAGCTTTTGGTCCACCAGAACCCCCAAGTTCTCTCTGCAGGGCTGCTCTCAGTGAGTTCTTCTCCCAGTCTGTCCTCATGTCTGGGATTGTCCTGACCCAGGTGCAGCACCTTGTGCTTGGCCTTGCTGAACCTCCTTTAGGCTCACATGGGCCCACTTCTCAAGCATGTCCAGGTCCCTTTGGATGGCATCCCTTGCTTTGCTTGCATCAACTACACCACTCAGCTTGGTGTCACCTGGAAACTTTCTGAGAGTGCACCTGATCCCACTGTATTTGTCGTGGATAAATGTATTTGTTACTGGTCCCAAGACAGACCCCTGAGGGACACCACTCATCACCAGCCTCCACATGGATGTAGAGCCACTGTCCACCACTCTCTGGGTGTGGCCTTATAGCCAATTCCTTGCCTACTGAATGGCCCACCTTTCACATGCATCTCTCTGCAACCTGGAGATCAGGATGTCATGCGAGCCCATGTGGAAGGCCTTACAGATCTGTCAGTCAAGGGAAGTAAGCTAGGATCAGCTCTCCTGAGGGAGTCAGTCTGTTCATTTTTCTTATGTTGTCTCTTGGTAAACTTTTAGGTAGTCTAA